TAATTTGCAGTCTCTTTTGCTAGAGCGTTGCAAAGATCGTCACCTTGTAACCTTTGTCTTGGCTCCTTGAAAATATGAGAGTCATCAGATTGTAACTCCCGATGTTGATTGTGAAGGCTGTTGAATTAGAGCTTTCATTAGTTGTTGTGAAGGTCATCAGATTGTAACCTTCTACGTGAAAGTCTTCAAATTGTAGCCTTCTGGAAGTCGTCAAATTGTAACTTCCGTCATCGGTGTTTGATGGGGATAAGATATCTGTTGTGATTTTTAGACAGCCTACATCTTTCTGCAGTGATTTTTAGACAGCCTACATCTTTCTGCATTGATTTTTAGACAGCCTACATGCATATTTTAAGAGGTTTGGTAAAAATAATTTTGTTATCTTATTGTTGTATGTTGACGACATGTTGGTTGCAAGCCCTAACAAAGATCGTATCAAAGAATTAAAGGCTCAGTTGGCTAAGGAATTTGAAATGAATGATTTAGGATCTGCAAACAGGATTCTAGGGATGCAAATTTACCGAGACAGAAATAATAGGAAGATTTCGCTTTCTGAGAAGAACTATTTGAAGAAAATCTTACAGCGCTTTAACATGCAAGATTGTAAGTCAATTTCTACCTCACTTCCTGTTAATTTCAAGTTATCCTCCAGTATGAGTCCTAGCCGTGAAGAAGAGAGGAAGGAGATGTCTCGAGTACCATATGCATCAGCAGTGGCAAGCTTAATGTTCGCTATGATTTGTATAAGAACAAACATTGCACAAGCAGTGGGAATAATTAGTCGATACATGGCGAATCCTGGTAAAGAACATTGGAATATTATAAAAATTGTTCTAAAATACATTCAAGGAACCTCAAATGTTGCATTATGTTATGGGGGGTCTGATTTTATTGTCAGTGGATATGTTGATTCTGATTATGGAGGTGATCATGATAATAGCAAATCCACCATAGACTATGTGTTTGTACTTGCTGACGGAGCTGTAAGCTGGGTTTCAAAACTGCATTCGGTTGTAGCTACTTCAACAACAGAAGCAAAATATGTAGCAACTACACAAGCCAGTAAAGAAGCGATGTGGTTGAAAATGGTGCTGGAGGAACTCAGCTATGAACAAAAGAAGATATCTTTATTTTGTGACAATCAGAGTGTTTTGCATTTGGCAAGAAATCCAGCCTTTCATTCAAAGACCAAACACATTCGAGTTCAGTACCACTTCATTCGTGAGAAAGTGGAAGAAGGACTAGTGGATATGCAGAAAATTCACACTGAAGACAACCTAGCAGATTTTTTGACAAAAGCAGTCAGTACTGACAAATTTATTTGGTGTTGATCCTCTTGTGGTCTGACGAAGATGTAAAGCAACATGAAGATGGTAAGATAAAAAGAATGGTGTGAAGATATGATTGATACTCAATTAAATCTTCAAGTTGGAGATTGTCAGGCACCTAACAATCCAAGCACCGAAAGCTTGGGCAGCCGCAAAGTTTGAGAAATGAGAGAGTGGGCCCCACCATCATTATTATTTGAATAGTAAAATGTTAATATTTTATTGTGCTTGGTGTTTTTCCAAACACTATAAATAGGCTCTAAATACTTAAGGAAAAACTCATCCCATAAACAACTCCTCATATAGAAGAGAAAAAAAAAAGAGTATCTTCTTGAAAAGAGAGATTGTAACTCCAGAGTTTTCTCCTCATAGTGGATTCTTCTATCATTGCCCGTGGATATAGGCAATTTCATGCCGAACCACATAAATCTGTGTGTTCATGTTTTTATCTCTATTTTTACTATTATTGTTGCGATCGTGCTCTATTTTAGGCCCCAGGTTTGTCCCATCACAAAGGGCCGTAAACTTTTCTCTACAAATATCAGACATTTAGTCGTACGACCAAATCTTTCCATTCTTCGCTCTTGAAGGGAATCTGAGCGGTAAAATAGAACTCTCCGACTGAGCTGTTGATGAGCACAAAACTAATATTAAAAACTCAAAAAGAGAATTGGGTACGTCATTAAGAGCTTAGTGAAGAATAAAGTCAGGAATTAGTTAAAATTGATGAAGAAAAGAGCACTTAGAAAATCCCCTGCCTGCAGTTGATAATCTCTCAGCAGTTAATTTCAAAAAAATATTAACAGTGCAAAAAAGTGAGTATTATGTCACAAACTTCTCGTGCCAGAGATTAGCAGTATGACTCATCAATACGTACTCAACTAAAGAAGGGACAGTCAGCCAAAACCTTCTATAATTATTATAATTATTCTAATCTTGATATAGTCATCCAGAGTACCTAACTAACCGCCAATTACTAGTTTAGGCTTATTCGGGTCGAACCCATGGGCCATGACATCCTCTTTTGCTCACAGATTAGCGCGTGCTTCCTCATTGACTGGTATTCAATTACTTTCATAATCTTTCTTCGGCCTATGGCATGTTAGTGAAGTTTTTAATCGATGTTTTTCCCCCATTAGTTAACAGAACTCTGACGCGAATGAAGAATTATAGATGCATTATTGTGTATAATTACATAATATTGATTGACTTGTATGTCTTAGATGGCCCTTTGAAAGATTCAAGTTATCGATGATTTTTGGACTAATCCCATTATCTTTTTTTTTCCTCTCTTATTATAAGGGAGCCGTGATAAGCCATCCTGTTGATCATTATGCCTATTCATTGCATTAAATTGTTCACGAAGAGGCTGTTAATATAAATCCATTTTTAAATATTGTATCTAAAAAGATGATGACGTATTATTGTGTTGCTTGAGGATCATCTCAAGGTACACATGGTTGTAACTTGTGAAGGAAGAGATGCTCAAAGAAAGAAAAGGATTCCAATCACTTCGAAAGAATTGAGCTTGAGTTTCCTTCCATCTTGTTATTGCTTGGATTTTAAGAATAATTTTGCGGAATAATGGAGGAGCAAAGTCATCCAAGTGATTGGTATTGAAATAAACAAGCACAATAATTGCTTTCGGAGGAGGAATCTCAACCTTGAATATTATTAGTCAATCGTGTGTCTGAAGATCAAGCTTGGAAGTGGATAAGAAGTTTGAGCTAGGCAGGGTTGAGTACTTATCGCTGAGGTATCTCAAACAATTAAAGAAGTTTGTTGTTAAATATTTACTCCAGAGTTGCTGTTTAAATATTTGAAAAATTAGTTCTCGGGAAAAGCTTGGAAGTTTATTGTCCAACAAATAGGTAGTGTAATTTCCTCAAGTTTTTCCTCGAATCCAAAGTCTGTTTTCTTAAGATTTTCGCACTGAAATTACAAAGGTGGAGAAAGTAACAGCTTCCATCAACACAGGGCCGTCTCAAGCATTTTTGAGGCTCTAGGCAGAGAAAAATATTTAGGGCCGTAACATTTAAAAAAATTTAAATATTAGTTTTTAAAAAATAAATTTCGTATAAAATTTAATTTTCTGGCTTTTTGAGATGCAAAGCTACTAATTAAATTTTATATTCAAGCTTTAATATTCAATTGATAAAATTGTCAAATTATTTAATCTCTTGAGACATTGTTGAACGTAAATAAGATTTTGTTAATAAAAAGATATAAAAGAAAAAAAATAAAAACACAAAATACAGAACATATCCATGAGCTATATACATATGTGTGTGTGTGAATGAGAGGAGAATGAATGTAAATTAATTAAAATAAATAAAAACCAACAAGCTTACCTTTTATTTTGGGGCCTTCTGGATTAGAATTGCAATTATGTATGTTGAGTATCAAAGATTAAACAAATATAAAAGATGAGTGAATGAGGAGAAAATAAAGTAAGTTAGCAAGAGAAAAAACGCATAAACTATGCATAAATAAGAATGAGTATTTAATATGTGCTTTTCTCTTTTGGGGGCCCCAATAACATGGGGGTCCTAGGCATATGCCTTAGTGGCCTATGCCTTCAGCCGGCCCTGATCAACAAAACATTTGGATGCATCGGTATTACTTTCACATTACAGGGTGCTAAAGCTATTCGAAAATACCATTTTCCCAACCTTGAAAAACAAAAAAGATTTTCTAATAACAGGGGAGTTGAATAAATATCCTCCGTGTCTTGCTTTACTATGCTCTTCCCCTCACGTAAATACCTCGCCGTACAACAAGCAAGATACAAACTAATATTATTCTACTTGTTACGTAACAAAAGCGTCTGATTTTCACCTTGTTGACCGCTGCAGGCTCATTTTTTTAAGCCTAGCTAAGCATGATTAGTTTAGTTGACTAATCATCTTAAGCCAAATTAAGTAAGATTAGTATAATTGGGTGTGGTTAGTCGACTAATTTGGTCTTTGGAATCAACCATCGGGCCTCTTCTGGCTACATTGCAGAGACGTACCCGGCGTCAAGGAAGATCTAACACAAAATAATAGCGAAACGTATCGAAGCCCCAGCGAGTCTCTCAATGTCAACTCTTCAGCACCTGCCGCTTATACATACCTTAGGTCCCTCATGACCACAATAACGTCCAGTGTTTAAACTTATCTAACCACCAAAACCTTACAGCTCGACGCAGGTCTTGAAGCTCTGTTCACAGCCTGGAGACGTATGCATCTCATCAGGGGGTAAAATGAGCAGATGGAGGTTCAAATTCTCCCCTAATCCTAGGTCAGTACTACCTACATAACACTGGTTTGTAAACTGTAATTACTCATCACTCTCGCTGAACCAGGCCTGTAAGCTGCCAAACCGCTTAAATGACCCGACACCTCATAATCATTGTCGTTCAGAAATGATAATCAAAGATCCCAGGTAGTCGCAGGTTTACTTTACAAGAACCAGAAAAGCTATTGGCCCAGAAGATGAAAACGAAGTACGCATTCAAACTAATTCATACAATAAATCCACTTCTACAAAGAGATCAAATATTGTACGAGTGTATACAAGAGGATAACATGTAGAGAATCAGCTCCAGCATACTGATACAGTTAGTAGTCTTGCTCCCAACTTTACCTTATGTAAGCAACCGAGCTATATAAACACAAGCAGACCAAACAGTAACCGAAGAACGGAACAAGACCAGTAAATCTCAAACCAACATGCTCAAGGAATAATGATAGTGTACTATAGAAGAACCACACCGTACCATCACAAGAAATATCGGTTGGCGAGTGTAACCAACAATGACACTTTCTGAGACTTCATAACTTGAATGCGTAACAGTAGCAATTTCGCAAAACAAGCACATAAAGGAAAGCAGTATAGTACCTTCATACTTTTAACTTAAAGGTATGTTATACACGACACATAATTTAGGCCTAGCTATATAAGTCGTCATCATCAGCTGCAGCTGCAGATGCAAATGGATCAGCTCCAGTGGTTCCTGCAGCAGTGTCAGACCGTTCTGAGAAGCGGAACTCAGTTCCAAACCCTCTTGATTGTTGCAAGGTTTGCGCAAATGCTTGATACTTCCTAATATCAGCATCACTCACACTTCTCCTTGCAAACTTCATGGACTCCTCAAAATGAGCTGCCTTGATCTCAGCAACTTCATCAGTGTCATCTTCCTCCATGGCCTCCGGATTCTCGCTCCTCTTCCTCTCCCTTTCTATATCCTGCATGATTGAAGATGTCAGGAATTAAATCCACTTTGTCAATTTGCAAATTTTAGATGGATCACTTGCAAATATAGCTATCATGGTCCATTTCTTTCAAGTGTGGATTTGGTCTAGCAAAAGATATAAATGTGGACCTAGTTCCCTATTGGAAGATGTATAGGTGTAAATATGTTTGACAAGTAACTCAAGTACTGATTCTTTTGAATCAATATGGTATCCACATTTACATCACCATTTATGGGCCTGCACATACTAACAGTAACTGTTCAATTATCATGCCAGACCAGCAGACCCACCTTTATGGCAAGGAGAATAGGGAGGGGGATGAAATAAAGCAAAAAGTTCTTCCACAGTGCACTTATTACACTTTTTGGAACCTCACTTAACTAGACAAACACCGATTTTAACCAACAATTAAGAAAACAGAATGGTCAATAAGCAACAGGGAGATCACAATGCTAAAGGAACAGTTAGCAATCACAGTTAGAAAGACTACAGGCAACTATTGTGATGTAGTGAGACAAAGATCAGGATACAGTTTAACTGATGGATATTCTTAACAATCCAGGGATGCGGAGAGACCTCTAAATTGGAAGAGTAATGACTTGGTCGTCCTACTCACTCTACAGTATTTTTTATGGTCCAGGGATGATTTTTGGGGAAACAGAATCACTAGTAGCAACTTAGGCAACAGGGGTCAGGCAAAAACAGTTGATTTTAAGAAGATAAGGAATAACTCTAAAACAAAGGAGACTTAAGAACCTTGCTGTGCAAATAGAACAATCATATTTGATATGATTTGATCTGAAATACAAGCTGGCACATGTGCCTCTGACAGAAAGGCGAGTGTGTATATATAAGACTATAAATATATAATAAGCTGCTCAATTAGAAGCAAGGACTCTAACCTTCTCAATGTTTTCTCGGATAGCATACTTGCAAGCACGCTGGCAAATCTCTGTAATATCTGCACCACTAAAGCCTTGAGTATACTTGGCAAGAGCCTTCAGATCAACATCTTTGGAGACTGGTGACTTTCGCAAGCAAGCTTTAAATATCTGGTGGCGGGAGGCTTCATCAGGCAAAGGAATATAAATCAGTTGGTCAAGCCGACCTGGCCTGAGCAGTGCAGGATCAATAATGTCAGGCCTGTTTGTTGCCCCAATAATAAACACAGTTTTCTTGGCAGACATGCCATCCATCTCAGTTAAAAGTTGGTTGAGAACTCGATCAGCAGCACCACCTGCATCTCCAACACTACTTCCCCTCTGAAAATAAAAGATACACCAATGATTAGCACGAAAGTAAACAACATTAAACGCATGAAGTATCTGAATGTATAACTATGAAAACAAACCTGAGTTGCAATGGAGTCCAGCTCATCAAAGAAGAGGACACATGGTGCAGACCCACGAGCCTTGTCAAATATCTCTCTTACATTTGCTTCACTCTCACCAAACCACATGGTAAGTAGCTCTGGTCCCTTGACACTGATAAAGTTCGCTTGGCATTCATTGGCAATTGCCTTGGCTAATAAAGTCTTGCCACAACCAGGAGGTCCATAAAACAATACTCCCTTAGAAGGTGACATGCCAAACTTCTCGAACTTCTCGGGATGCTCAACTGGATATTGAACAGTCTGCAATAACCACAACAGCAAAAGACGATTTATGAGTGTCTAGAAAAAAAAAAGAGGGGATGGATAAGAAGTCGTCAACAGCAAACTAAATTGTTTACCTCTTGCAGTTCCCTCTTGACGTTTTCAAGACCTCCAATATCATCCCAGCTGACATTAGGCACTTCAACAACCTATTGACCAATGATGAAAAAAGGTTAAGACCAATTTTAATTCAGGTCCAAATTTTTCAAGAACAATACACATGCCACTTACTGTTTCACGCAGTGCAGATGGATTGCTTGTTCCAAGAGCAGTTTTGAAATGTTCGTCAGTGACAGCCATAGAATTGAGTATCTCCGCGTCTATGGTCTCGTCTTCCAGGTCAATAACATCCATCTTTTCTCGAATACACTGAAGGGCAGCTTCAGTACACAATGCAGCCAGATCAGCCCCAACATATCCATGGGTTTCCTTAGAGATTCTTTCCAAATCAACCTGCATTTATGAAGAAAATACCAGTCACATCAAACAGAGTCTAATTAAATGTTAGAAAAGGGAGAGAAAAAGGTGCTCAGTAGTATTGTTCTTACATCCTCAGCTAGCTTCATGTTCTTTGTATGAATACGAAGAACCTCCAGCCGTCCAACCTCATCTGGAACTCCAATATCAATTTCCCTATCAAACCTACCAAACCTTCTAAGAGCTGGATCAATACTGTTTGGCCGATTTGTAGCTCCAATGACTATGACATGAGCACGAGATTTCAAACCATCCATCAGTGTCAGCAGTTGTGAAACAATTCTCCTCTCAACTTCTCCATGAGTTTTTTCTCGCTTGGGAGCAATAGAATCGATCTCATCGATAAATATAATAGATGGTGCATTCTTTTCTGCCTCTTCAAAAGCCTTCCGAAGATTGCTTTCACTTTCTCCAGCCAGTTTGGACATGATTTCAGGACCATTAATGCAGAAGAAAAAGGCACCAGTCTCATTTGCAACTGCTCTTGCAATAAGAGTCTTACCAGAACCAGGAGGCCCATACAACAAGATTCCTTTAGGTGGTTTTACACCAATTGATTTGAAAAGCTGGGGGTGCCTGAGAGGAAGCTCAACTAACTCTCTGATCTGAGCCATTTGTTTCCGCACTCCACCAACATCATCGTAACCCACATCGTCAAGTCTATCCTCATCCTCCCTTTTCACTGGTTCTCCTTCACAAAAGATCTCTGTGTCAGGGGAGACAACACAGTACTCTGGAGGGTCTGTTTCTATAACCTTGAACTCAACAGATCTCATGCCTCCTCTAACAAGAAAAAGGTCCCCTTTTCTAACAGGTCGATATGCCTCCAGGAAATATGCTGCAACATGTAGGAAAAGGTCATCGCTAGAAGTTCTAGGACGCACAAAGCAATTGGTTTTCACACAATTTGTATCAACAAGTTGAACAATAGAGAATTGAAGGAAACAAACCAAACTAAGGAAATAATGATAGCCTAAAGTTAGACATGTTGCGATTAGAAAGAGATTCAACATACAAGTACCAGAGTCAAAAGCAAACACTTAAAATATGCATGATGCAAAATCATAACCAAATATAAAATTATTACAACTGGAACATAACTGGGAAATTATAGCAGGGTGGAAGCAGCTTATGAATACAGTATTTTAATTTAAAGTGCCTGCAAAGGGTAATGCTCAAATATTGAATTTTAAAGATGAATACCAATTTAGGACTTCTTAGAATCACATTGAGGATAACAGAAGTCTATATTTGTTTTCAGTTTACTCTAATAGTGTGACGAATAACATTAATTGGCGAACCTAATGACCTGATCAACTATGCACCTTGCTTTAAGATACCATCAATTATACGTGATATTGTTACATAAGTCAGAATGCACCTTTCACATAGACAATCATGCTGTATCTTCAGCTTCATCTATGCTTTAGAACTGAATGAAGTCCCTTACTACAAACCTTGTTGGTCTTTCCCTTTCTAATAGACTCTTCTTGGACTAACTAGATCTCTAAGGGATGTCGGTTACATGAGCTTAAGAAACTCATGGTCCATCACGTTGGTTTCTCTAAAATTGGCCAAAATTTCCTTTCATGTATAAAGTTTACTGAGATTTGGCACCTACTAAGAGCTGTTCGGATAACCAGAAATATTTCGACAACCTCAATTGGTGTGAAAGATTCAGGAGGTGGTGATTAAGACAGCGTGTAGTGATGATATGTATCATGATGATGATTTTTTCGTGATGATACGTGTCATGATGATGATTTTTTCCCTCTTCATTTAAACTCAAATCCTGTCACAACTAAAACACCAATATATAGCAATGATTGCAAGTTCATTCATAAATTACACATGTTTTTAAAACACATCAGATCTTTATAAAAGCACATAGAACATGCTAATTGTCTATTCTAAAGCGTGATAGAAACAAACGTTTCATACTGATGATTCCATAAATTATAACAGAACCCCAAATAACTGGTAATACTAATCTTAGGAAATCTCATATAGAAACATCTAAAGATGATGATTAAGATCTAGCCAGAATAAAATCAGATATAATAAACCATCAAAGAAAAAGAAAATATAAACAGAAAAGTAAATTAAAGAAATTGTGCATCAAACATCGGCTGAAAAAATAAGCAAAAAAAGAAAAAGAAAAGCATAATAAAAAAGAAAAAGAAAAGCATGCTCACGTTTCAAGTATGTATCGAACAAGTTTCCTGTCAAGCCCTCGATGGTATCATCTATAGGCAGTATGTGCACTCGCTTTCCATATTTCACATCCTGGCATTGATGAATTGAAACCACATCACCGAGCCTCACTCTAAGATTTGATCGCACAACCTTGTTCATTCTTATCTTTGGTTCTTCACATGTCTCATCAGCAAGGGCAATGCAAATAGTATCTTTCCGTTTCTTTCCCTGTGATTAAAAGTATCAACAGAGAGGATAAGGAAAAAATGACATGTGAATTCAATAGTACCATAAAACCAATCCCCAGAAAACTATCCACGTATCTCTTATTTGAAATAGTGCAACACTGTATTTGTAATTGAGTACACTTCAACTAACTACACATGGAATCAGTCAACAGTACCAAACTTGATAACCATAGTTCACAACCTAAACTGCAATCCAAGCTCCAACCTTAAGCTCACATTGTACAAGAATTGAACATATTGTAAACTAAGAACCTAAGGTTGCTCTCTCTTTTACATAAAAAAGATTAGTTCCTACAGAAAGATAATAAGTGTCAAAAATTCAGTTTCAACCACTACCTGATTTGAGTTTATTAAAAAATACACATCATAAATATCAAACTTTACTGAACTCGATATTATCAAAAGATGATATGCAACCTCCTAGCATCTACTATTTCAAAGCCAGCTGACAAAGCACAGCTTGTTTTTCGCCGTGAGCTTGTACTCCAATTAAGTGATTGACTGAATTAAGGTTCTCTAACATATATATGTCCTGGTTTGTGTCATATTATACCTTAAGTTATTTCTTAAGTGTATATTAGGCCCCCAAATAATCATATTTAACATTTACAACCCCAAACCTATTAACTATTCTAATCAACACCCTTGGTTGGGTTCCAAGGCAATTGTTACCATGCTATTGTTAAACTGTTGCAATTGATAGATATGGAAGTGTTATTTAGAAATACGAAGATTAGAGGGCCTAATATAAGAAAATAATTAAGGGTCTAATTAAAAATAAACTCTATTTTCACAAGGTGTTATCCAAAAATACTTTAAAAGGTTTTGGAGGCCTGATATACAATTAAGAAATAATCTAGATTGTAATATGGACAGAACCCTATATGTTTATGTGTGTATAGTACGTAAATTTTCGAAGAGTGTATTTCAACAGAAAAACTAATTCAACAGGGGGGAAAAATACATGTTACACATAAAAATTAAGACAACCTCAAGCACATGCTTTTTTTTTTAAAGATCAAATGCCAGAAGATCCTAACTTTTCAACTAAACCTAAAGTTGAACAACATATAACAACGAGAGCGAAGCAATTATCCCGTAGCAAAACCCCAGCCCCTAATCCTCCAACAAACTCCACTACTCAAACTAAAACACAGGAGGAAAAAAAACGAATCATACCTTCAACAGTATCGTATCCCCGCGAAAAATCTGCAGCTTCTCCATGGTCTCGGGATTCAGAGAAACCACAGAATTGTCATCGTTAACAGCCTCATCAACCACTAGACGATTCGCCGCCTTCTTCCTCTCCAAAATCGCAGTACTAAAATCCCTCTTCGTCCCCTTCCTAAAAAAATTCACAAAATCACCACAAACACAAAAACTAAAACCCTAGCTTTCTCAACCAAAAAATAAAAAAGCCCTAAAATTTGAAGAAATTGATGACGGAAAAACTTACGGATCGGCTGAAGAAGAGGCTTCCTCTTGATTAGATGCCATGAGAAATTACCGAGAAGAGATTAGGTTAGAAAATTTTTGAAGAGAATTCCAGAGGAGAGGGGAGATATTTATAACAGAGAGAGGGGAGTTTGCTTTCGCTTTTATTTACTTTTGTTTACTTGCCCCGCTACGACTAGAATCGGGATTCGGGTGAGAGGGTGAGGAATTCTTGCAGACGAAGAAATAGAAGACGAGATCTGGGCCGTTAGATGCGACACCGGTCTACGTGGACGTCTTTCAATGGATTGGTGAGCTTGTGGACCAATTTGGGTGGAAACAGCCGAACCGGAGCGAATACTGGTCAATTCGAATTTGAATTCGGTCAATTTTTAATATTCGAATTCGAGTTCGGGCCAAATGGATATTCATATTCAAATTCTTTTCCGTTTAAGCTTATGCATCAAATTAAACTAATTAAAATTTTTTTAAATGTCTAATCTGTCGTTTAATAAATATAGAACATAAACGAATATTTAATGATTGAGTGAATCAAATATACATTTTGTTAAATTCTATTAGTTTATAAATCGAATATTAGAAGTTATTCGTTTACTGTTAAAGGAGATAGCAAATCGAATATGATCGGATAGCTGGACAAATAATAACTGAATTGTGTTTATTAATTATTTGGTTCACTCCCACCCTTATTGGTGGCTCGGTAAAAAATAGCTAAACGAGTTAGGTTGGGTGTGTAATTTTGCATATTGAAGGAGTAATGAAAGGAAGATAAGTGCTTTCCGCATCTTTATTTAGTAGTATAGAGCATGTGGCCACAATTGTGGCTTTGTATTAAACTCATTATTTAATAAAAAATAATATTAACAAACTAATAATCTTATTAATTAGAATTAATACTTTTTTAAATAATAATATTTAACTATTAAACTAATAAATTAATACTTACAAAAATAATTTCTTATAATATCATATTCCCATCTATTTGTAGTATATCTATAGATCTATTCACTTTTAGTACTTATTGAGGATAAAAGGAGTAGAAAAAATTATCATACTTAATAAATCGCAACTCTTTAAGTGAAAAGAATTTGTCAAAAATTCATTTGAAATCAATTAGATAAAATATATAAGATGTCAAACGCGCTATAAATGGTCTAAAGATGCCAAACAACTAATTTAATTGGTTTATCGAGTTATTTCTGTGTTTTGTTCCTTTATAATGTTAAGGAGTGATATAAAGATATTCACTGATTCAAATTTCAGATGTTTTACAAACGTCCATGTTTAGACCAATAATATAGGGTGTGTTTGGTAATCGATGTGTTTTTTTTATAAAAAAACATCATGCCATGGTATTTCTTTTTCAAATGTGTTTTGAAAACATCATTTTGATCAAACTAGTTTGACCATTTATATAGCTGATGCGGCATAAACATGTACCAAAAAGGTTGCAAGTGCACAACCGTGTCAAGTTATAGTATTTAAGATATCGATCCCACGAGGAAGGTGTTTTGTAAGAGAAAATATAAAATCGGTTCTTATGTTGTGTGCGTGACAAATAGAATTGATGAGTGAATGTGATTGTGAAGAGATTGAGATAGTGAAAATGGTGTGTAAATAGGTGCAAGTGTAAGTGAGAGTGGATTTGAAAAAGAATGAGTATGATCAATAAGGTGAGAAGGGAAAAAATGAATAAAATCAAGAAACAAATAAAAAAATCAAGAATGAAGAACAAAATTCTAGAATAAAAGAAAATGCAAGAAATTAAAGATGGTGGATTCAATTATAGATATGGATAATCTAAAATTGAACCCACTTCTTAGAAAAGTGTGATTCCCTAGAGGGTTCTAGCCTAAAGGCGAATCAAACAAAATAAAAAATAAACAAAAAGAAAAACTAAACCCAAGAGGGTTCTAGCCTCAAGGTGAATAGTGTAAGAAATTAAAATCTAACTACAAAATAAATTGCAAAATCTAAACTACAAAATAAAATTACAAGAATTAAATGCACGAAAATAAATCTACTCTATAAGCATAAAATAAATCTAAGGCAAGAGGGTTCTAGCCTCTTGGCTATTTAACAAGAAAATAAAATCTAACTACAAGCATAGAAATAAATCTAAACTAATAAGCAATAAAAGAGAAAAAGAAAAGAAATGCAAACCTTCAAATAATTCTCCATCTTCATCTTCATCTTCATCATCCAACAAAGAGAAGAAGAGAAAAATTTAAAGTGGTGAAAAAATTATTATTATTAATTGCAACAAAAAGTTACAATTTTGAAAGGCCTTCTCAATTAAGAGTAGCCCTCCTCTCCAAAAGGAGTTACAAAAATTTTCACACCTCTAACCCCTCACTCTCTACCCCTATTTATAGTAATCTTCAATGAATATGAGCCATTGGATTTGTCTTGAGCCCCAAGCAAAGCAATTTGAAAATCAAAATCTCCGGCCCACTTCATTTCATTTGATTTTCCAAAACAAAGCAACCGGCCCATTGTGTATTTCCTTGGTTAAATCCGGTCCATTGGAGTTTCAAGTCTCTTGTTGATGGGCTTGGGCCTTGAGAAATTGAAAATTCACTTGTGAAAAGAAAACAAGAGGAGGAGTTGCCATAAACATTTGGGCTTTTGGGCTTTTAAAATTCAAATATTTCATTTCTTCATTTACTCAAAGGCCTTCGTTGAGAGATGGGATTTTTGAGATTTATTCTTCATCAACCTGTAATTAAAGATAAAAGCAATTATTAGTGGTATATTTATTCATATAAAATATATAATGATGGTATAAAATTGTAATAAAATATGATTATCAATAGCGGCGAGAAATATCAGATCGAAGGATAACTCGCCCAACGCCGGGAGGCTCTCCAAATCAGGAGCACCAACCGAGAGGGGCGGGGCCACCCGCTCAGGTAGACTTCGCTTCTCAGGTCACATCCCTGATGCGCATAAACCACCCCGAGCAAGCGAACCTACCCGAATAGGTGAATCCCCGAGGGCTGGTGAGCCTCGCCATAGCCCTTTGGCGGATAAACGTAAAGGCGAAGCAGTAGGCGACACCTCGCGAACCCGCCCGTACGAGCGAGGGGTTGAAACTCGCCTACATACTGGAGTTCGCCTAAACGCAAAAACTCGCCCACCAAGCCGAGATTGCCTAACTCCAGCACCAAAATGCTCCACTCAGCGTGCACCAGAGAGTACATCCAAAGCTCTCTCGTGCGATCACCCGGGCGATCCTTCTGATGCTGGATTTAAAATATTTTCCAAGATCATATATACAACTATAAAACATTTATTAAATTTTTTTTAACTCTTTCATCCTTGGTGATTTTTTTCTACTTTAACGGGCTTTTTAAGTGACCTTTTAACGAGTTTTGGGCCAATGGATCCCAACCCAATTGGGCTTAGGTCATTAAGTATGGAAATACTCCTTGGGCTTAATTACTCGGTCAGCTTAGGCTTTATAAGATAGAATCACCTAGAATTCAAGAGTATTTTTTTTTGTGCCCATTTTTCGCACTCTTCTTTTGCAATTTTTTTTTTTGTATATGTATATATATTTTGAAAATATGTAAGTCAAAACATTTTGAAAAAATTATTTTCAACTCTAAGTTAAGCATGCAAAAATTTCATTATTTTAAATAAAAATCCAAGTTAACGCTCAAGTAAAGTATACTATTTTGAAAATCATTTCTTAAGAAATTTATTTAGAGTTATCATTAAAGATGAAGTTAAGTAAATAACCAACTAGGGATTAGAAAATTTCAAATTTATCAAATAAATTAATTATTACATAACTCCATCAATTTGGCAAGTGACGATATTTTTATAATTTTTTTTAAAAGAAAAAGAAGAGAAAAAACAAAAATGTAACTAAAAATAAAGAGAAAATTAAAAAAAATAACTAATTCCCACCCCCACACCTAAATTTTACATTATCCTCAATGCAAACTCTATGATGCATAAAGTAAAACAGATAAGAAGTGAAGCACTTACATTTGGTCGGCTATGCATAAAGTAAAACAGATAAGAAGTGAAGCACTTACATTTGGTCGGCTGATAAAAATCTGCAATTACCTTTGGTCTGAGGGCACTTACATTTGGTCGGCTGATAAAAATCTGCAATTACCTTTGGTCTGAGGAGGATGAAATCAAAAATAAATTCTTTTTTTTTCTTTTCTCTCTTTTTTTTCTTTTTCTTTTTTTTCTCTTTTTTTTAACAACTGAACAAGAAACTCTCAAATGAGAGAAGAATAAATTTTTTTTATTATTCTGAAGTAAACAAAATAAACAATGTAGAATGAAATATTCAACATGAAGAGTTCCTGTTCTACATTGAATCCTACCTTACTGTTAAAAATTCTTACCCGGATTTTAAACAAATTCAGAATGATATAATCAATAATGTGAATTTTCAAGCATTTCGGGGTATTCAGTAATTCTTGCAACAAGATAAGGTAGGTGTTATTTGTGTCATGCATTTTGCATTTCTTAATGAACTTAGATTCTTGTACTGTAAAGTTTTGTTTTCTAACAACCAATTCTTCTGTGAAGTTCTGAAAATTTGGTTGTTGATTATTCTCCAAGAATCTAAGTTCATCAAGAAAGAGTTCTTCAAAATTTAATTCAAAGCAGCACATGTTTAACACAAATTTATTATTCTCAAGGACTTGTTCTGCTTCTTCTAAAAATTCTAACTCTTCATCAAAGATTTCCTCAAAACTCAAATCAGACTCTTCTTCTTCTACTTCTGATATTTCCTAAATGTAGTTTATTTCTAGAGGCTGATTATTTGGTTGGTCCCCTGGATTAAAAATGTTGAGATCAGCAGTCAAATTTCCAAATGACAGCTTCATTTGACCAGTTCTACAGTTGATGAGAGCATTAGAAGTGGCTAAGAAAGGTCGTCCTAAGATGACAGGTGTCTGTCCTTTGGGATTGGAAACAGGCTGTGTTTCCAAGACTACAAAATCTACTGGAAAAATAAAATCTCCAACCTTAATCAGAACATCCTCTAACTCACCCATAGGGACCTTAACAGATCTATCAGCCAACTGTAAGGTGCATTTGGTTGGGTTCAGTACACCTAGACCCAATTGCTGGTAGATTGAATATGGAAGCAAATTGACACTGGCCCCTAAGTCTAAAAGTGCCTTATCAATGTGAGTATTACCAATGATACATGAAATGAT